TGTTTTGGGCGAAAGCCGGACTGAAAGGGGTCCAAAAGGTTGTTATTAGCAAGGTGGCAACTCAGGCGGTTGTAGATGAGGCGTTCTAGGAGTTTAGAGGTGAATGAGAGTAAGGAGATAGGTCTGAAATTATTGAGGTTGGTAGGGTCCAGGGAAGGTTTTTTGGGTATTGGGGTGACTAGTGCATGTTTGAGTGGGGTAGGAAAGATTCCAGTAGAGAGGGAAAGATTGAAAATGTGAGTAAGAGAGTCTAGAATAGAGCAAGAGGTTGAACGAAGTAGTTTTGAGGGAACAGGGTCCAGGGGGCAAGTGGTGAGGTGGGTGTCAGAGAGAAGCTTAGTAACCTCCTCTGTGGTGACAGGGTCAAAAGAGGAAAGTAACAAGTGTGATGGAGGATCAGGTACTATAATAAAAGGAGCAGTTGATTGGACAGTGGTAATCTGATCTCGAATGGTATCTATTTTGTTTTTGAAATGAATGGCAATGTCCTGGGCAGTGAGTGAGTTAGTGGGTGGTGGTGGTGGAGGACATAGTAGAGACTTGAAGGTAGAAAAGAGTTGACGAGGTCTGGATGAGAGTGTGTTAATGAGAGTGACAAAATAAGTTTGTTTGGCAGCACGGAGGGAGGAGTTATATTTTATCAGGGCAGCTTTGTACAGGGTAAAGTCTTGCAGAGACCTAGTTCTCTGCCACAGTCGCTCAAGAGCGACTTCAATGGAGTCATATCAAAAGCGTGTTTACATTCCTTTTTCATGCCTTTTATGACTTAATAACAGGTCTCCTTCGCTAACAACCTCTTCTCTAAGCAGGCTGAGAGTAGATGGAGAGAGAAGGCTTCAGCAAAATGGATATTGAAACTTTCATCTGCCTGCTCAGAGCGAGGCCATTGCTATGCAATATGAGCCACCAGCAATGTAGCTGTGACTTGTTTGATGATTGTGATGTTTACCCCTCCACAACAACACCACAAAACTTCAGCTCATTTTATCAGTATATATTATTGTATTTTTTATACTAAAGTATCCCTGTAAAATGACACATCTGTATACCAAATCAAAACTGTAAACTTTATTGTTCTAAAACTAGGGATCCACCCATACCGACACTTGTATCAGTATCGGTGCTGATACCATGTACTCATTCTTGGCCAAATTCTCCTGATACTTATCCTGATACTGAAACATCTGGTATCAGGAAGCCAGGGGGCGAGTCATTACATGGCGCCCGGCTTCCTGATTGGCCGGGAAGCTGGCACCATGCTCCTTCATCACCAGGGACCATGGAGCTGACTTCCCAGCCAATCAGGAAGCTGGGGGGCGGGTGACTTCCCCCCTGGCTTTCTGATTGGCCGGAAAGTCGGCTCCATGCTCCCTCATCACTTGGTCGGCTCCATGCTTCCTTGTCACCTGGTGACGAGGGAGCATGAAGCCGGTTTCCCGGGCAATCAGGAAGCCGCCAGCTTCCTGATTGGTCGGGAAGCTGGCCAATCAAGAAGCCACATGGTGAGTCATTACCGCCCCCCCGGCTTCCTCATTGGCAAGAAAGTCGGCAAGGGAGGTCAGAAAGCTGATTGGTCAGAAAGCTGGTGACAAGTGAGCATGGAGCTGGCTTCCCGGCTAATCAGGAAGCCGGGCAGCTAGTCATTACACGCCGCTGGCTTCCGGTACCAGTATTCGGTATTGGCGAGTAGCGAAAAAAAAATATTGGAACTCGTACTTGATAATGAAAAAACGGTATCCCTATCTTAAACTTACCGGGCTTTTTGCTGCAGTCTTGACATGTTTGTATATTTATATTTATCACAGCTGCTGTGGCTGCTGCCAAAAAACATGCCATAGTGGATATGACACAAGATTACAGCACAGCTACACAGTTCTAAAAGGAAGATGGTGCCTAACGATGTCACAGCAGATATTGCTTGTCATTGACAAAAACAAAAAGCGACCTAAAGCATAAAAATATATGAAAAACACATTGCAATGCATCAAAAACACCCTGAAAAACTGCACATGTACAAGTGTGAATGTAGGCTTAAAGATGGCTGCACTACAGACATATACAGAGAAACATGCAAAGTGCTCTTAATTTACCATGTAACAATTTTGGAATAACATTTCTTTAACAAAAGATGACTTCTTGGCATGTAATATCGCAAAAGTGTATATTTGCTTTACAGAAAAAAAAGAAAACATCTCACAGGTAATGAGGCAACTTGCTGCTGCATATTTTAAGCAACTGCTGCCAAGAATTTCAGCTTTTAAAAAAGCTTTTTTAGTTGTTCCCAAATAGGAGTCCCAATTATATTGCTTGTTTAGAAAAGGTAATAAAAGGGAATCAGTAAGAGGCTACCTGTGATTTGGGATCAGATATATAAACCAGACACATGAAAATACAACTATTTAAGTGAGGACAGCACAATTTATTAATGAACATACAACATACAAAATATAGCACATACATATAGTAAACCAATAACCAAACAGTGTAATACAAGGGCACGTTATTAACTACAAGCTAATTAACTATGTACAAACAATTTCAGGGGAGCAGATAGAAGGAAGTAGGGAAAGTGAGAGCAGGCAAGTGGGCCAGGTGGCAGAGGGAATAGTAGATCAGAGAAGGTGCAAGAGATACAGGTCAGACAGAAATGAGAAGGGGCACACAGGCACAATGCTGAAGCAAGAAATATACAGTAGGGTGGGACTAAAAAGCATCCCAGCAGCCAGCCCCAGGAGGTAGTTAATCATACTTGGCTGGCCGCTGGGAGACACCGACTGGTGGAAACAGTGTGAGGGAATTTTCCCTTAGCTTAATAGATGTGGTAAAAATATTATTTGCAAGAAATACCCACATCCAATGAAAATAAAAAAAAGAAAACAGCATTTTCGATTGTATATAGTTGGATGATGGAAGTCAGCCGAGCTTCCCTTCATTCACTAAGCTGAGGGAAAAGTCCCTTGAAAAGTAAACAGCCTATTTGCCATTAGTAAATTGTCCCCAGTATTCCCAAAGGTTAAGGGGTGAAGGCTGGGGTGCTTAAAGCCTCAAGTGTGGATTGGCAGCAGCCAGAACAGATGTTGACACAGAGGCAGGCTGGGCTGGAGCAGCTGGCATTGAGGCAGCTGGTCTGGAGGATCTGGCACAGACACAGCCTAGATTGGAACAGCAATGATTTGGCTTAGGAAAACAGTGAATGTTTTAAAGCACACAATACCAGCAATGTAATATTGGTCATACTGTATGTGCTACAGATTCTAATTGTAACTTACTGAATTACTGTGCTTTTAGTACAGTTATCTTTTGTAGGTCCACCTTCGACCCTTTCATCCAGCAGTAAAGGTGGCCGTACGCTGTCGGAATTTCAGCCGGTTCTTGAGAAACTGGTCAAAATTTGCACACTGGGTTTCTCTGTTGGCACCCTTGTAGCTGGCATCCCTCGATCAGCTGATCAAATGAGCCACTCGTAAAATCTTTGTATGAACAGAGCTAGCAGCCAATGAGCTGCCGGCTCTGTGCGGATATTCTGACAGCGGCCACTGGAATACAGAAGAAAAAGCGGGAATTCCTCGATCAACACCTCATAGCGTTGATGGAGGAATCTGCTCAATTTTTTTTGTTCAGCTCACGGGTTGAACGAAAAAAATAGAGCAGTCTATAGCCAGCTTATGGGTCAATTTACATCCATTTATCTTTCATCTGCTCATCAGCTACCTAATGTGCCAAAATGCACAAAAAAAACTAGGTATTGCCTTACCCTACACTGTGCTGTGATGCAATGCAGATGTGCTGGGAAGATGCATTAGGGTGCCATTCAGAATGACCAATCAACATGCATAACATGCAACAGTGTAAATCTGGCCTTAGTCTCATAATTACCTACCCCTCTTCCCTCAAGATCACCACCTTGATGAGTGCACAGCCTTCTCTTCAAAAGTCTCCCAACCAGACCTTGATACTTTAAACATGCACTCTGAAGTCTCTGTTCATTACTATGGAAAGGCTATCTACTTTTCATTCAACACTGGATGTCTTTTCTATAGAAATGAAGGGTGGGGTCTCTTTTTCCGTTACCCTATCCTTAAAGCTGATTTCCTTGTCACTAATTCTGACATCAGGTAACAAGCATTTTTAGGAGGTCAACAATAGATTGCCTTTATATTTCTCTTATGATAGGTTTCGTTTAAGCTAAAAATGAAAAAGCTCCCCATCTATATTTGTGCTATAAATTGCTACAAATTATATTGTTTAAATTAAAGTTCTAATTAACAAATTATATGGA